TTTTTTTTTTTTTCTCTTCTCTTTTTTTTATACTCGAACGCCTTTCGTCTGTTGATTTTGTTGGCTGACGTTACGTTTGCCGCGACCACCGCCACTTCCGTTACGAAACACGAAAAAAGAAAAGAAGAAAGAAAAAATTAACTTGCCTTCCGTGAACATACACCCATTTCACTCGCATCGCCTTCAGAGCGGGAAGATGATTTCTGTTCTCTCCCCCCTCACTTGCCGAGCATCCACTGGTCATTCGCGCGCGGAATCTCACCCGTGAGCGCCGTCACCACCACCTCCGCCTTGCGCCAGAAGTCGATGCGGTCGAGGCCCGAGTTCATCCAGCCGGTGGTGATGCAGTAGCCGGAGTCGTAGTTGTCGCGGTGGTGCTTGCGGTGCACCAGCGGGGTCAGGATGAGATTCTTCGACATGAGGAAACGCGCTACAACGTTCGGCTTCACCTCGTGCGCCCACTTGTGGAACTCATTCGTAAAGGCAACGAAGAGCGTCAGNGTCAGCAGAAACACATGACCGCCGACATTACCGTTGTGCACATTGTAGATGTACTTGTTATGCACGTTAGGGCAGTTGAGGAAGTACCGCTGTAGAAGCAGCACCGGAATGAGTGGGAGAGTTGTGTCGGCGTTTGTCTCGATAAAGTCGTGCTTTGTCATGGCGACCTGGTCCACGTGGTGCTCGCGGAAGGAGCGGATGAAGTTGCCGAACACCATCGTGTCCGGCGTGCCCCACGTGTCGAGGCCCCAGTGGGCGATGCCACTGATGAAGTCCGCAAGCGCCATGGCAGACACAATCATGAGTGGGATCCACGCCAACTGCACCAGCTGCGCCTCCCCACTGTGCACAAAGTAACGCGCGACACCGATGAACTGCGTGAACCACAGATACGTCGCGACGGAGAGGTAACAGCACTCCAGGAAGCGCTTCTTCTTGGTGTAACCGGCCGCAAGCTTCTTGGCGTTTGCCTTGCGAACGGTGGGGTCACCCTCGCGGGCAGGGGACTCGCCGCCAGTTTTGCCGCTCATTGTATAAAACCGTTTGTTTCTTCTCTGCTTCTTCCCCGGTGCTTGTTGCCGCCGCCTCGGTCGTTATTATCTCCGGTCTTTGCTTGGGGTGCGCTTTCAGCTGCCTTAGCCGCGTCTGTCTTGCTCTGCACGTGAAGCAGAGGCATGTGACGGCAAACAACAACAACGACAGCAGCAGGCAGAAGAAGTGGAGGAAAACAAAAAAAAAAATAGTGTGGAGGCGGGATCCGCAGACAACCGGAGACATGCATGAAGCAACAGAAGAAAAAAAAAGGACCAGAGAAGACCCCATCACGCGCGGCGCCAGACGACAAGACAAGAAAAGTGCACTTCTCCATCTCGTTCCCACACCTTCCATTTCAAGCCGCACAGACACACACACACACACACACACACACACAGACAGACAGACTGAGATACGCTGCGGATGAGTGGATGTATATGCGTGCGCGTGTGCGCCACCCCCCCCTCCTCCTCCTCCCCCTCCTCTCTCTCTCAAGCCACATGAAAGCAGCAGAGAGAATAAGCACGAGGAGGTGTAAGCGCAGACGAGTGGGTGTGGCACTTACGAGTTACCATCTTTACAAATACATATAATAATATTTAAAGAGATATTAAAGCGGAAGGAACAAAAAGAAACAAAGAAGGTATCAAATAGTCACATGTTCCCCCCACCCCCAACAACTCCCTCTTCATGGGTAAAACTTTGTGGCAGCCAGCTTCGACTCGAGCACCGTCAAGGAGTCCTGCACCAGCTGCTCCACCGCCGCGGACGTCGCCATCTTCAGCACGCAGTCCGCGCTGGAGCGGCCGAACCAGTACGCGTCGAGTGGCTTCGCGCCGAGCACAGCGTTCACTGCGTCCGTGATATCCGACAGCTTCACCGTCTTCGGCACCCGCACCAGGCGGACATGATCGGTGGCACCCCCTTTGTTCACAGGATTGCGCCCTTTCACCTGCTTCTTGGTAGCCGCTGCTTCCACTTCTGTTTCTGCTGCTGCTGCTGCTGCTGCTGCTGCCGGGGCCACTGGTGCATTATCCTTGCGGTGGGCGTTGCTCTTTTCATCCCTGGCATCGGCACGCTTCTCCTGTGCGGCCCTCGAGCGTGGAACGGGCCGGTTGATGTTATTGTTGGTGCCGTTGTTGTTTTCTGTCTCAGTCGTGGCCGCCGGGGCATTCTGCTGTTGCTGCTGCGGCTCGCGTGTGCGGAGTGGTCGCGAGGATCTCGGTGCTGCCATCGCCACTGCGCGCTCCTCACGTGGCCTCGCATTTCCGCCGTGCTCTCCGCGTCTGTTATCTCCGCGCCTCTCCCCGTTCTGCTCGTTGCGGTGCTCCTGGCGGCCGCCGTTGCGCTCTGCACGATCAGCGCGGTCGCCGCGCCTATTGTCGACTCGCTCCCCATAACGTTTGTTGTCACCACGGTCCCCACGGTTGTTGTTTGTGTTGTTCTCGTTTTGCTCTCCGCGCCTGTTGTCATTGCGCTCCCCACGATCGCGGCGGTTCATGTTGGTGTTGTGGTCAGGCCGCTCCCCGCGCCTGTTGTCATTTCGCTCACCTCGGTCCCAGCGATTGTTATTGCTGCTGCTGGCGTTGTTCCCTTCGCCGCGCTGTTGCTGTTGCTGTTGCTGCTGCTGTTGCTTCTGCAATTCCTGCCGCCGCGCAGATTCCTCAGCGTGTCGCTGCCGCAGCGCCTCTGCTGCCGCCTGCTGCTGCCGCAAACGTTCGCGTTGCTCCTCCAGGCGATTGCGGCGCTCCTGCTCCTCCAGCAGGTGCTTCGCGACCTGCGCGGGCGTCATGACGATGCCGTTCTCCGGTATCGACTCCACTTCCACCCCCAGCACGCGGAAGTAGTCGCTGGCGATGTGATACGTGTTGGCGCGGTAAGGCGTCGGTGCGAGGACGAATACCTGTGAGAATGGGCAGCGCCGTCCGCAGAGATACAGCACACCTTGGCAAACAATCTGCACACAGCTGCCCGGCAGCGGTACGTAGTCGACGAAGCGCACCTCAACCTTGCGGCGGCCGAGCTCCAGATCCATCTTGGCAAGGTTCTGCACAATCTCGTGCCGGCCCTGCACCACATCCGGGTTCTGCTCGTTGAACTGCGCATACGTCAGCACCGAGGTGTCCGCGTAGAGGTCGAACAGCCCAGCCATGTCATTCTCCTTCACAAACTCGCGGTAGTAGGTCACGAGGAAGCTGCAGGCGACTCCAGCAGCGACGTCACGGTTCAGCATGATTGCGTTCTTTCCACACTGTCCCTATCCTTCTATATATTTCCCTTTCTCTACTGTTACCGATCTGGTGTGCACGTGGAATGCGTTTGGTGCGTCTGAGGACCGAAAGCTTAGTATAGATTACCCCTTCCGAAGAGCGAAACTACTTCTAATATCTCCACGCCCGACCCCAAGACAACAACAACAAAAACAACAACAAAAAGAAAAATAATAAGCGATTGAAACACCGAATTAACCAAACAAAAAAGCAACAACAACAACATGAACACACATAGAGAGACAAAGAAAGTGAAAGATGCAGAGGTGTCCATGTAAGCCGAGGAAGCACCAGAAGGAATATTCGTACTAGCTCCGCTCCCCCCCCAAGGGAGGGAGGGAGGAAAGGAGCACACAGACTCGCCACCCCCCGCACACACAAACACACACACCCGCAGAAGGAAGCAGGAGGGGGTGGAATCTCACAGCTGCGAGGGACGCAGGTTCCCCGGCGGGTGCTGCTCCGCCATGACGGGCGGCAGCTCCTTCGCCAGCCGCCGCGCAAACGGCGCCAAGTCGGTAGTGTCGTCGAGCAGCTCATTCAGGTACAGCAGCGCGTCGGGCCGCTCGTTCGTGATTCCGCGAATCGTATTGTTTGCCTTCTTCCCCACGGCCCCACCCAGCGCAACGTCAAGCATGGCACGCACATTGTCGATCTTCTCGAGCCGCTTACCGAGGTCGACTCCGCGCTCTGCCTCCACGTGCAAGATGCGCTCCAGGCCCGCCACCGACACCGGCTCCAGTCGCTTATCCACGAAGAAATCAATCAGCCCGTATTTGCCAAAGAACTCCTCCCCGCCCTCCCCAGCATCACCACCGATGGAGCAGGTGGGGAGGATCTTGTTGTCGAGATCACTGAGTATTGCCGCAGCGGTTTCCTGCGCGTCCATGAGTGACTGCACGATAGCCCCCTTCGGCCCATTCTTCACCCATCCTGCACAGTACAACCGCGACTGTTCTGACACGCGGCCGCCGCTATGTGGAATGACGCCACGCGCGTGGTCAAACGCGACGCCCGGAATAGCGTCAGAGCGATAGCCAACTGACGTGAGGACCACGTCACACGGCACTGTGACTGTCGGTGCATTCTCGCCATGCTCCTTACTGCCGCCCTCGACGTCGTCGGTGCGCTCAAAGACGACGGCGCCTACGTGGTTGCGGCGCTCGGGGTGCGGCAGGAAGCGCACGGGCCGAAGGTTGTAGCGCATCTGCACCAAGCAAGGGCCGCGTTCGTGTCTCGACGGCGGCGCCTCGAGGGTACTTCCATCCAAACTCTTGCCGCTGCCGCTTCCTGCGTCATCGGTGTATCGCGCTAGGAGCTCAAGGAGACGCCGGCGGGCGCGTGGGTTGGAGGCCGGCACGCGCAGCGCCCCCGGCAGATCGAACGGATCAACAACGACCCGCACCGTGTCGGGCTGAAAGCGCGTCAGCTCTCGGAACTCCGCAGTGGTGAAGGCGCTGTGCGCGTGACCGCGGCGAGCCACGACGCTGACGCGGCGGATGCGGTTCTGCATGAGCTCACGCACCGCCACACAGTTCATGTCGGTGGGACTGAAGTACTTGTACGACGCCGCGAGTACGCGCGCGCAGTCCAGCGCCACGTTGCCGTTGCCGATCACCACCGCCTCCCGCGCGGCGGCGATGTTGAATGGGCAGACGCGCGGCGCCCCGTGCGGGAACGGGTACGTGTTGTAGTAGCGCACCAGGTCTGCCGCGCTCACGACGCCGCCGAGCTCCTCGCCGGGGATACCGAGGCGCCGGCTGCTGTCGGCACCCGTCGCGAGCACCACCGCCGCGTAGTTCTCCAGCAGCGTCTCGACCGGCAGCTGCTTGCCCACCTCCACGTTGCCGATCCACGTGACGCGGCCGCTCTTAAACATCTCGAGGAACTGCTGCTCAACGTGCTTCACCTCCGGGTGGTCCGGCGCCACGCCGTAGCGGCACAGGCCGAACGGCACTGGCAGCCGCTCGAACACGTCGACGTGAATGTCGTCACGCTTCTTCGTCAGATGGTGCGCAACGTAGCAGCCACTCGGCCCGCTCCCAACCACAGCGATTTGCGTGCGTCGCGCTGCTGCCTCCGTGGCGGACGATGCTCTTGCTGTCGTCGTTGATGCATGACGCACGGCACCAACCTGGGCCACCCGCTGCCTCGCGCGGAATAACCCTGTCTGCATCATCACGGCCCTACACTCCCACATATACACACACACACATACAGAGAGAGAGAGAGACAGACAGACAGGTAGGGCGAGGGCGCCGAAAAGAAGCAGCAGCAAGAAAACAGA